AACAAAAAAAAAATGCCACCATCGTGCAAGTCCGCGCCCGGAGCCCCGGACCCCATCTCCCTGCGCCACCGTTCGAGCCGATCATCGATCTGTGAGGGCCCCGGGGCCCGAAGGAAGGCGAAAACGCCCGGCTCGAAAAAATGGAGTCGCCAGGACTTGGCATCGCTCGGACGTGTGCATTCTTTTCTTCGGCGAGGACCATCGAGGGCCATCCTTGATCGTCTGGCGAAAACACCACGCAGGAAAACCGACAAAACACACGAGGAATGGACGTCCGAGCGATGGCGAGACGATCTCTGGGAACCCCCCTCTACGGGCAATCGTGTTTTCCTCCAACCTCCCCCAGTGGTCACGACGGGAGGCCCTTGCAGCATTGCTTTGCCTCTCCTGGGGCCCCCGCCGGGCCCCGGAGACAGATATCCCGGCAAGTTTTTGCTTGCCCTGACCTTCCAGGAGGGCGAACAGATACTTGGCGTCGCTCGGACGTGTGCATTTTTCTCACCACCCGCCAAACCACCCCAACCCAACCCGAAGGCCTCAATTTATCCTCGATTTCCAGTGGAAGGGGGGGTCGGAGAACGTTGAGAAAACACATGGAATCCGTACCCCCCCCAACCCGAAATTCGAGTCAAATTCGGGTCTTCGGGTTGGGTTGGGGTGGTCTAGTAGGTAGTCAGTTTTCCTTCGGCGGGGACCATCGAGGAGCATCCTTGACCATTTGGCGAAGAAGCCACGCGCGAAACCGACAAAAAACACAGGGAAGGGACGTCCGAGCGATGGCCAGAGGTCCTCCCGGGCCACTCCCCCGGGGGCGCGCGAGGCCGCCCGAGGCCGATGCGAGGGCGCCCGAGAGGGCCCCTGCACCGACCGAGTGCGAAGGGGCCCTGGGACACGCAAAGAGATACACACAGGCAAGAGGATTCCTCGATATCTTCCTACATCTCCTGGGTTTTTTTCTCTCTCCCCCCCCACTTCCCATCTTTCCCCCTATCTTCTGGGGGATCGGCGATTCATTGTGTCTGTGTGCAATCTTCCCTCCTGAAAGTGGCAGTGAGGAGGCGCCGGGCCGCCCCCAGAGACCCAGAGGAGCCCCCCCAAGAAGGCTTCGAGAGGCCAGAAACTATGTCGACTACACGTCAGAGTGACCTTTCGCCGGCGTGACCTTTGGTGCGGGCACAATGGGGTCCTCCGATCACCGATTGCGATGCGATAGTAGCGTCCTGCGCGCCTGAGTTTGGTACCCCCGCGGCCCCCCAAACGCCGCGCACCAAAGGTAACTCTTACGCAGGGTCGCGCTTGCGTGGGGCCGACGATGGTTTTCCGAGAGGGGTCGACGGTCTGCTCATTCGGGCAGTTGCTCCCAGAGGCCAGGGTGCGCGCGTGCTTGCGTGTGGGTGTCGATGTGTGCCTCTGTCCTCGTGCGTGCATGGGATATAGCGTCGAGGCAAGGGTGGCTAGGGTGGTTCACGATTATATACTATATATTTATATGAATATATATATATATATATGAATATATATATATATATATACACATGCTCATTTATATATATATATATATGTGTGTAGATCTAAGGAGGGATGGTGACAAAATGAAGATGCGCGCGCGCGTGGGTACGCATGTGCGCATGCGCGCGCGCGCACCTTGGAGCCCACGGAGGGCCCCGAGAGAATCCAAAAGGCGCCCAAGAAAGCTCCAAAGTATCTTCGGAGTGCTCGTTCTTCGTCCCTCCTCCTTTTCCTCCTGCTCTTCCCCCTCCTCCTTCAGCTCCCTCGACTCCTCCTCCTCATCCTCCTCCTCCTTCTCCTCCTGCGTCTCCTCCTCCTTCTCCTCCTGCTCCTCCTCTCTCCTCCTCGTCCTGCTCCTCCCCATCCCGAGTAAGAGGCAGTAAGAGAAGGAAAGCGGAGAAGCGGGATGGCGACGATAAAGGAGAAGGAGGAGTGAGGAGAAAGGAGGACCAAGGAGATAGGAGAAGACAGGGGGGCGGGGAGCAAGGAGAAAGCTCAATATTTCTGCTTGTTCTCCCTCTCTCTCTCTCTTTCCATCTCCCCTTTTCTTCCACTCTCTCCCAGCCTTTCGACGCGTCGTACGTCAACCTCGCACGGCTCCGCGACCGCCCACCGAATCCGAAGCTCTGCCCAGAAGTGCCGCTACCTCCACGCGACAAGAGCGGCCCTTGCCTAGGGAACCTCTTGCGTGGTATCTTGGAGTTCGTGGATCAGCGCAAGGTCTACTGACAACGACTGCGCAGTCGGCTAGAACCTAAGGGCTCGCGTAGCGCGCGCGCGTGGTTCTCTCTCTCTCTCTCTCTCTCCCGATATATATATATATATATATATATATATACACATATATATGTATATGTATATATACACATCTGTATATGTATAGATATGTGCATCTATGACTGGATGCAAATCATGTGTGAATTGTTTTGTCACTGAGCTCCTCTTTGCACTGTGGCCCCCCGAGGTGCGCTCGGAGGACCACCTGGAGCAGGACCCGCGCACTCCGCCCGCCGCCCGACGCGCGCCGCCCGATCCTCTGCGAGGGCACCGCGGCCGAAGGACCTCTCAGAGGTGCCGCCCTGCGCGGTTTCCTGGCGGCGCCAAGGCGAGCGCACGGGTGCACCAACGGGGGCTCCAGGCGACTGGAGTCGCAGCGGCATCCTGGTCATGACGCACCGCGGGGGAGGTCTGGGGGGCAGCGGTATGGGTATCCCAAGGGTCTCGTTCCCCCTTCTCCGTTTCCTCCTCCCTCTCCTCATCCTCCCCCTTTCCCCTCCTAATGTTTCTCCTCCTTCTCACCCCCCTCTTCACCCTTCTCTTGCTCCTCCTCCTTGGCCTCCTCCGTACAGCTCAAACGATTTCAACCCAACCGTTTGCAATCCTACCGGTTACAATTATTTGCAACGCGTTGCAATAAATTTAACGCAATTGCAATCGATTGTTCACCGCCCGATTACAATCCAAGCAGCTGCAATCGAATGTTGGAACGCATTGCAATCCAACCAATTGCCTTGCAATGGAATCGTTGGAACCACATAGCTCACACCGCAGTGGTTGCACCACATGCGTATGATGCACCATGAAGCTTGCACCACGCATGTCAAACCATCTAGATGTTTACGCTCGCTCGTACCACACAGACCGCACCACCTAGCTGACAGCACGTAGATCACACAACAACGATTGCACCACATATCTTGCGCCACGCAGCGCCTACTGCATTCACTGCACCACCTCATGGATTGCACGACGGCCGCTCTTTGTCGTGCAGGCTTGCTAACATCATTGCCTTCGCCACCTCCTCCTCCTTCTTCTCGTCGGAATCCTGCCTTCCTTTATGGCGGGAACAGGCGGGGGGTGGCCCTAGGACGATGAGGAGGAGGGATGTGAGGACGTCGAAACTGGACTTGGGTGACGAAGAGGAAATCAAACATCATCCATCCTCCTTCTGCTGTTCCAGTTAAAGCTCCTAAACATCATCCAAGCATCACTGTAGCCCGTTCACCTTTGCATCCTCCACGTTGAAGCCCCTGGGAGTCTGAAGACGAAGGTTGCTTCTCAACATCTGTCGGGACGTCCTCCCCATTCCTCTCCTCCTCGTCAATTGTCCGCCTTCCCTTCCTGATGATCACCATTATTGTTCTGCTGCTCTTACTATTCAGCCACCACCTCTTTCTTCGCCTACTTCTGCTCTACACCCTGGTACGCCTCCTCCGCATCCTTCGCCTCCGTTGTCTATCCTCCTCTTTTTCATGCCACTATCCCTCCTCCTATCGCTCCGCATGTTCTTCCTTGTTCATAGAGGCGCTGGGAGGAGAATTCGAATGAAGGGGGCGAGCGCTAGTACAGTCAATCTTGATAGTAAGGATGGGGCAACTTTCCAAGGCTACCCTTGCATATCTGCCTTTCCAGTATTCGGCATCCTTCGGCATTCTGCTGCGCTCCGCACAGAAAATTTCACCATGGTGTTCCAAGGCCCTTGCATCCTTACCGCGCATCCTTACTATCCTGGACGAGTGTATGGGGAGGAGGATCATGAAGACGATGGAGGAGTGAGGGTAGCATGCGGAAGAATAACTAATCCGTCGCGTCCCCCTCGTACTCCTTCTCCTATCCGAGGAGGGAGGGAGGGAGGGAGCATGAGGAAGATGAAGATGATGATGGGGGACACGAGTGACAGAGCGGGGCGGAGAGAAGAGCAGGAAGATGAAGAGGAGAAGGATGGGAGGAGGAGGATTATAACTAGGATGAGGAGGCGGATGCGGATTATGAGGATTATGTTAAGGATGAGCTCATCATGCTCATGCTTCTCTCACTCATCTGCTTCCTCGTGCTCTTCCATCTCCTGATGCTCATACTCCTTTTCATCCTCGTGTTCGTCCTCCTCGTCCTAACTCTCGTCATATTCATTATCATCCTCATCCCATCGCCTCTATGGAAGAGGAATAGGAGAGCGAGCGAGAGGAGAAGCATGTAAGGGTATGGGGCAGAGGAAGAGGAGGGTGGATAATGAGGGGACGGACAGCTATAGGAACAGCAGCACGATGTTTCAAGGGTTATGGCGTGAAGGGCTGAAACATTCAAACCGCCTAGGCCTACAGACGCGCTTCCGCCGCTCTTCCTCCTTTCCCCTCCAGCCTCCTGCATTCTCTCTCCTCTATGCTCCCTCCTCCCTGTGCTGTGAGTTATGTGGTGCGATCCATGTGGTAGGAGCTACCTTGCTCATCTATACATTTTGAGCTATGTGGTGCAAGCTTCGTGGGGCATGATCTGTTGGGCACTCCATGTGGTGCAAGCTATGTAGTCTAATCGATTTCATTGACCGACTGGACTGCAATCAGCTGGGCTGCAAACGATTACAGTGCAGTCGATTGTATTGCAATTTGTTGCACACGAGATTGATCGATTGGATTGCAATCGATTGGAGTGCAATCGATTCGTTTTCCATATCTTTGCTTTGAATATGTTTGCCTGCGATCGCTTTGATTGCTATCGATTGGATTACAATCGGTTGCATACGCAATCCATTGGATTGCACTCGACTTCACTGCGACTGACTGAATAGCAGGAGGAGGAAGATAGTGATGAGGAGGAAGATAATGATGATGAGAAGGATGCCCTGCCAGTCTGTCGATTGAGAGGTGCCGGGGGGGAGCATACACATACCTTAGCACCCCGCAGTTGCGGATAAGAGTGAGGAGGCGGCGAGGACGTCTTGAGTCTGCGAGGCTCTGAAGAAGCCCGTCGCAGGCGCCTAACTTTAACAAATTATGCAGTGAGCCCGCCGCAGGTGCCGATTTTTTCGTCAAAGCAATGTGGGTGGATCGCGGGTGGGTCGCGGGGGGGTCGCGGGCCGGTCGCGGGTGGGTCGCGGGTGGGTCGCGTATGGGTCGCGGGTGGGTCGCGGGTGGGTCGAAGGGTGGGTCGCGGGGTGGGTCGCGGGTGGGTCGCGGGGCGGTCGCTGGGTGGGTCGCGGGTGGGTCGCGAATGGGCCGCGGGCGGGTCACGGAGTGAGTCGCGGGTAGGTCGCGGGTGGGTCGCGGGGTGGGTCGCGGGGTGGGTCGCGGGATGGGTCGTGGGATGGGTCGCGGGCGGGTCGCGGCTTGGTCGCGGGCGGGTCGCAGGGGGGGACGACAACAAACAACAACAGCAACAACAACAGCAACAACAACAACAACATTAACAATAACCACAACCACAACCACAACCACAACCACAACAACAACAACCGCAACCACAACAACCACAACACCAACAACGACAACGACAACGACAACAACAACAACCACAACCACAACAACGGCAACAACAACAACGACAACGCAGCATGCAGAATCCTCACTTCGGATTTCATTTTCAGCCACGCACCCAGGGACAATGAATGACCGTTCGGCCCCCTCACTCTGACATATCTATATATATATATATCATTGAGCTCATGCGATTTATCTCCCCTGGCGTGCCCCCTTGATGCGTCCATCTCGTTGCCGCCTCCCCCGCAGCCGCTTCGGCAAACAAGGGGTTTCTGGGGGGGTTACCCGTATACCCCCCCCCTAGGCCGCGGCCCAGGCCATCCTCTCGTGGTGCGGGATGGCGGCCCGCTGAGCAGGGCCTGGGCTCGCGGCGGCTCCGCCGCGGGGCCTGCCGCCACCGCGCCAGCCCGCCCCCCTTGATGTTCGGGGGCGGAGCGGCTACAGGCGTGGGAGGCGCAGGCGCTGACGGCGGGCGGGCTCGCGGGCGGGCGGTGGGCCCCGCGGGCGGGCTCCTGGGGGGCGGGGCGGGCGGGGTCGCGGGCGGCTTCGCAGCCATGCCCCCTGGCGTGGGCGGGATGCTGCCCCCGCCCCCGCCCCGACTCGCCAGGGCCGCAGCGGCCGCAGGAGCTGGTGGCGCAGGCGGTGCTGCAGGCGCAGCAGGAGGCGGCGCCGCGCGGGCCGCCAAGCCTGCGATGGGCGGCATGGGCAAGCCTGCAGGAGAGCGCGGCGCCGCCAAGAGAGGAGCTGCTGGCGCGGCCGCGGGGCGCGGAACTGGCCGCGGCAAGGCGCGAGGGGCTCCCGCGGCCGTGGCTGGCGCCGCGGCCGTCGCGGGTGGCGCGGCGGGCGTGACCCCAGGGCTGCCTGGAGTCGGCGCGCTCGGCGGCCCTCCTGGTGCCGTTGGAGGTGGACAATTCGTACCTTTCCACGTCTTGACGAACTGCGAGGTGCAGATGTGTTCCGACGGCTTTGTGGGTTACCACTTCGTGAAGCCGGGCGCTGCATGATGCATTTTGGGGCTGACGCACCACATCCTGACTCTTTTCAGGCGGGGCCCCTGGCTTCTGACTACGGTTACCAGCGCGACGGCAGGCTACTGCATGATTCACTGGACACGAGGCCATTGGCCTCAGATCACGGATATTCCCCCGATGAGCGGTCGGTTCATCCCTGACCATTGTCCGCAAGGAGCGGTCGTCGTGACTTGATGCCGCTGCCTTGCGCTCTCGTTCAGGTCTGTGACTTGAAGTTGGAGTTCGACCAGGGCCGCGTCGTGAACGTGGTGACCGTGGCGATGGAGGACGACATGAACGGGTGGCTCTACCCGGTGGCGCAGGCGCTGAATTTCCAGTCCCGCTTGGGAAGCAAGCACCCTCTGTTGAAGGGGGACAGCGCCCGCCGCTTCTTCGGCCCCGCCAGCCTGGTACAGGTGGAGGCCCTGCGGCACTTGGCGCGGAGCGTGTGCGCTTTCTTGGGGCAGTACAGCGACAAGGTGCCGATGCTGGAGTGGGAGTCGGAGCTCAAGTCCTCGGCGGTCAGCTACACAGGCGAGGAGGTGTACGCCGCGGAGAAGCTCGACAGAGAGTGCCTGATGCTGGCCTTGCCGCCGAAGCACGCGCGCGGGTCGGTGCTGGCCACGGAGGTGAGCGACGGTTGGATCCGAGGAGTGCTGGAGAAGCCCGAGTGGATCCTCAAGAACCCAGAGGACCTGGGTGAGATGCCGAAGACCCCCCGCGTCTGG